CCGGCGCGCGGAGCCTTACCTCGGCCCCGGCACGCCGCTGCCCAGTGCCCCATCCCGCCGCAGCTGAAGCAGACGTCTGAGCTTCGGGCGAGGGATCCGCCGCCTCCGCCGAAGCATTCCGCTTTCTTCTGCCACTTCTGCTTCCGCGCCTGCGGAGCAGAACCGGCCCCCGCTCCGTTTTCTATTTTTTTCTTCATTTTTTTTTTTTTTCCCCATAAAATTATATTTTACGATGGTTTACGTCGCCGGGTTTTTGCCGAAGCGCTGCGTAAACACCGCCAAGCGTTAAAAAATAACGGCAATTTTCTTCCGGCTGATGCTGCCTCTCCCAGAAATGATCCCAAAAGATTTGATAATTAAAAGGGAGATATTAAAAAAAAATAAAAATAAAAATCCTAGGTTTTTGTTGCAGAGCGGAAGCTGAAAAGGCCGAGAAGTCGGGAGGGGCAGGGAGCTGAGCCTCCTGCCGGCGCGGTGACGCCTCAAAAATAAATTAACTAAAAAGGTAAAATACGGAAATTCAAAGTACAACGCGAAGGCGAGCGAGAGCTGGGCGAGTTTTAAATTCATCCTGGCCTGGATAAATCGGACTGGAAATGGGTTTGGGGGTGAGAGCGGGCGAGCAGCGCCGTCCCGTCCGGCTTTTGGTGACGCCGGGGGAGACGCCGGTGGCGCCGGGGAGGCCGTTACCTGCTTGCGAAGGCGATTTCCCCGCAGGGCGTAGCCTCGGACGTGCGATTTCTTCTTTAGGTTAAGCCTGACGAAGTTGCCGCCTCTCTGCGGAGCGGCTCTGCGGGGAGAGAGGGTGGGCAGGAACCGCCTGCCTGCCTGCGGCCCTCGTTTCCCCCCCCCCGCCAGCTCCTGCCTGCACCCAGCGCAGGCAGGAGCGGGCAGAACACCAGCACCCTGCCCGCAAAACGGCTTTGGGGGAAATAAACTCTAAATATTTCATCCCTTAAAGGTGGCCGAAGGCGACACAGAGGCACGGGGGGAGGCGAAAGGCGCACGGGGTGTAATTACGCAAGAAAATTGCGCTCAAAAAACCCCCCAAGCTTATTCCTTCCCCCGCAAAATTCCCGGCTGAACGCAAAAAAAGGAGGAATTAAGGAAAAAGCGTCTCGCTGCTTATAAAAATCGAGAGGAAAAAGCCCCCTCGGCTGCCTCAGCGTCCTTTTCTGACCGCGTTTTGGCAGCGCCGCAGCCCCCGGTTGATCGGGTTTGATTCCCGGCTCCGTTTCCGCGGCCGGCGGCACCGCGCCGGCGGCAGGACCTACCTGGCAGCGACGGCTCTGCGGCTGGATCCGGGTTTCTCCTCTTCCTCCACCTCCCCCAGGAGGTTTTCCGAGGGACGCGGCACCTCGCTCTCCTTTTTGGCTGTCACGCGCTCTTCCTCCTCCTCCTCCTCGCTCTGCTTTGTCGCGCCGGCAGCACCAAACTCTCCCTCGGCCGAGCCCCGGCGGCATCGCCTGAGCTTCGCCGGAGCCGCCGCACCGTCTCCACCATCTCCGCGTGGTCTTTTCCTTCCGGAATCTCCCACCGACGCTTCCCGGCCACCTGGCTCCTGCGTGGCGCCTGCCATCACCCCTTCGTCCCCTGGTGTTCCCTGGCACCTCTGGAGCCAGGCGGGATCCAGCGAGCCCAGCGTCCGCGCCACCGTCCGCTTCAGCTGCTGGAATTTATCCGGTGGCGGCAGCGGGGGGGGGCGCCGCGT